ATATGAAAAAAGTATAAAAAATGTTTTATAGAGACCAGCAGATGGCGTAATGATTACCTTGCTGGACTCCCATGTAGTTGATCATGGTTTGAGTCCTGGATCAGGTGGCTTAAAGCTCATGCTGGACATGTGTGTGTGTGTGCCCAAAATCTTGAGAGGAGACTGGAGAAGAAGGGATTGCAGTGTGGCCATCCCCCTGGAGGGTGATTTTTCACTTTCTGTCTCTGTCTCTCCAACAAGTGCATGCACCCTTTAGCAAAAATCTCTCTAAAAGAGAAGTTTTAAAAAATATGTTTTATGTATATTGTAATATACATAAAATATACATAATATACCTACATTATATATATATTAAAAATTATTTATATGTATACATATATACACATATATATATACATATATAAATATGACTAATTATTTTCCTGGACTACAACTGTTCTCTTATCCATTGGTGAGAAACTATTCCAAGACTTAGTGACTGAAAGTAGCAACCATTTTATTATTTATTTCTGATTCTGTTGTGTGGGCAGTGCTTAGAGGGACCAACTTGTGCCCCCCCTCCCAATCAAAGCTGGGGCTCCTGGATTGCACTGTCAGTGAAGGGTCTTTGTTCTCACTGTTTGCCAGATTCCTTGTGATCTCTCTATGTGCTTAGTTAGCTTGGGTTCCCTCACACTGTGATCTCAGTGTAGCCTGACTTCACACAGCACAAAACTGTTAGTAGTCAGGCAGTCTTAAAAGCACAAGCCTCATACCTGCACAGTAATGCTCCGGTTGCATTCTATTGGTTAAAGCAGGTCACAAGTCCCGAGGCTAGAATCAGAGTGAGAGGGAACTCCACCAGGATGTGAGTACCCAGAGACATACTGGGGGCTATCTTTGGAGGATAGCTACCATATCAATGTTTATAAAATAAATTATTTTTTCTTTTCTTTTTCTTTCTTTCTTTTTCTTTTTGGAGAGGTTTTTGCTACAGGGCGCATGCGCTCTCCAGAGAAACAGAGAGAGACAGAGAGACAGAAAGCGAGAAATCGCCTTCCAGGGAGGATGGCCACACCACAATCCCTTCTCCTTCACTCTCCTCTTGGGATCTTGGGCATGCATGCACACGTGCCTGGCGTGACCACATGGGAGTTCAGCAACATAGCCATTACACTAACTGCTGGTACCTAAATTCTGTAAACATTAAGCTGAGTCTATTTCTCAGCAAATAACAACAACAACAAAACCCCAAAGGAATGCTCAGTTTAAATATCCTTTACTACACAGAAGTCTACATCAAACCATTCTGATTTTTTTCTATGATCTCCCTCAAACATGCCTCATTCAAATTCTTTCAACACTGTAGTCTTTTCCTTATGTTTCAGCATGAGTCTCAACTAAATGGTTTCAAATGTTTGAGTTCCAAAACCTAGAAAAGTTAAGAGCTATAGTAATTTTGTGTATATATGTACATGAGTTGCCAACTTTGTAATATTCTATTCACAAGTTAAGAATATTAAAAAGATACCATTTACTGTTATTCTTGCTTCTTAAAGGAAGGTGTGTCTTAATCTTTTTTATAGTAGTAAAGAGAATTTCAGACTAAAAATCTTAATTTCAATGTTTATGAAAACTGACATGTTTCTTCTTTTCATTTTACTGCAAGTTATGAAAATTGTACTAATAGCTGCTACTGGTCTTAGATCCAGTATTTGGGACCCTCTAGTCAATTTAGGTCTATTGAACATTTTCTATCTTAACCTGATACTGTGTTACTAACAGAAATATTTGAAAATGGACGATCTGCAAAAAAACAGAGTTTTATTTGGCCTATGATTCTAATGGATAGAAAGTCCCAACAGGTTATGTTACAATATGGCCAATGGAAGCAGAAAGGATGGTGGGGTATGCAAAAAGAGAGAGACCTGGGGGCAAGAATCTTCCTTATATAATAACCCATTTTTATGGGAACCCTTTTAAGGGTTACCCTTCTCTCAAGAGTTAAAAGTCACTTAGTCTCAGGGACCAGCAGTTAGTGTAATGGCTATGTTGCTGGACTCCCATGTAGTCGACTGTGGTTGGAGTCCCAGATCCGGTGGCTTAAACTCACACCGGGCATGTGTGCGTGCATGCCCACGATCCCGAGAAGAGAATGGAGTAGAAGGGACTGAGGCATGGCCATCCCCCCTGGGGGGTGATTTCTCGCTTTCTGTCTGTCTGTGGAGTGCAGGTGCCCTATAGCAAAACAAAACAAAACAAAACAAAAAAAACCTCTCCAAAAAAAAAAAAAAAGTCACTTAGTCTCAGAAGACAGCATTATTCCATCCATGAGGGTGATGTCTCCATGATCCAATCACTGCCCACTAGACTTCACCTCTCAAAGGGCTCACTGCCTCCCAATGCCATCACACTGGTACTAAATTCCAAAACCATTATTATTTTTTAAAGAGTTATTTTATTTAGCTTTATTTATTTATTTTAATTTGACCAGAGTGAGTGAGAGAGAGAGAGAGAGACAGAAAGCAAGCCACCAGGTTCAGGACTTGAACCACAGTTGGCCATGTGGGAGCCCAATGCCCTTAACCACCACACTACCTGCTGGTCCTCCTAAAACCATAGCAATTGTTAAGGTTCCTTTTTACTCTGAATGTGATAAAAATAATTTCACATCTTTCTCCAGGAACTGTAATCATACTGATCACTTTGTTAAATTCTATAACTCCCTCTTTTACACAGAATGATTTAAATCTGTGCTAATGCAAGTAATACAATTGTTAAATACTTGTTCGTATATTAAGAATGGATAGTGTTAGGGTAGATTTATGAATGAGAGTCCTGTAGTGTAGTCAGTATTGTTTCTGTTCCAATCTGGGTCTGTCAGGACCTTGGGCAAGTAACATTGTTTCTCTATGATATAGGTATAATCAACCGCAGAGTTCTTGAGATACTACATACAAAGTACATGGTGTAGAGACTAGCAGGAGGCAAGCATTCAGCATGTATAATTAATATTAAATTCTTATTATATTTACACATGATATCAGTTTCTTGAAAATGCTCTTAGGATCTTAACATACTTTAAGGCGGATCTAACCACAGTGCTCTTGAAGAGGTTAGTCACAACTAGACAACTGAATTTTACAGTTGGAAGGGAACTTTAATGTTGTGTGATTCCATCCTATTACAGAAAAGGCAATTTTTTTTAATTAAAAAAAATTGATATTAAATCCATCTGTCTTACGATAAAAGAAAATTAGTGGTGTGTTACAATCATCATAATAGCCTTGTAATTAAGTAAAATATATGAGCACCACATAGATTTCTAGGAGCTTTGCCAGGTTGGTTTTTACTCCCATTTAACATTTACCAGTGCCACTCATGTATTGTCTTAGCTACCTGCGCTTTTTCAAAATTGAAAGCAACATAATATTCCTACTTCTTCAAGAAACAACAAAATTCTGAAGAATATCTAAAAATGGTAATAAAAAAAAGGACAAGCAGGGCTTAGAAAATTCATTTTTGGGGCAACTGCCAGATTTATTTTAAGCCTATGCTTAAAAATAAATCTAATTCACATGACTGACAAAATGCTGGAGCCAAGAAAAGTCACTGTGAAAGTATTTAATGAAATACCTGAAGTTTGTCCAGTTGTCATCTTTGCTATGATTTTTGTGAGGACTTACTTCCTATCTTGATTTATACAGGGAACTTAATATGTAAATATTTCTTGCAAGTTATAAAATAAAAATAGAAGTAGACATTTTTCTAAGGATATAACATGTTCTTGACCTGTGACTCACATCATAAGGCTGGAGAATTGTTCAGATACTGTGCAGTTTATATATATATATATATATAAACAATTAGTTCAACTGTAACTTTTCCAGTGTGGGGTTAAATATCCAGGGTTTCTATTTTTAGCAATCTTTTAATTTGACCTAGAAGCAAAAAATAAAGAAATGATTAGGCATAAATTAAGGGGTGATTTCCTCTGAAAGCAGTGAAGAACATTACTTTATCAGTAGATTGAGTAACAAGTCTTTCACCCTTTCTCACACCACCTAGTCAATGAAGCAACTGAACTATGAGGAAATGCCCATTATTTTCATGTCCTTTTAGTTGTGATAAAAACCACAATTCTAAGTCTCACTGAATGTTCTGAAGTTGAAATGGCACCATTATACATCCAGGAAAGAACAGTGGGATGTTTGTGATGTGAGAGAACTAATATGAACGGCTTAAAACTGATTTTTAAAATATTAGATTATTTTCCTCTTCTTGAAATAAATCGAGCATGACTTTTACTGATGGTTATTTTCCGTAGCCGATATTTTAATGCTTTCCTGATACACACATTCTGGGGCGGAAGGGGGTGTTGAACACCTTAATGCTGTCTAATTTTCCCAATGAATGGTAAACAAGTCAAAAACATCGTGGGACTGACGATGGCGCATCACTGAAAACCAACTCCACGGGTGCCAAAATACCTGTTCCTGCCAACGATAAGGCATCTCGCCTCAAACGTAATGATAATAAGAATATAATCACCCTTTCCTTCTCGCCAGCATTCTCCAGGCTGGCTACAGCCCAGAAGCCGAGCTGGGAGAGCTACCAGGACAGCGACTAGAGGCAGCGTGAGCTCCGCCTCCGCCTCGCCCGGACCTTCAAGGAGGCCACCCGCCCGTGCAAAGCCAGCGCC